ATTGTCATGAGCTAAATTTTAAATGCATTTTGCAGGATAGATGTATAGATGATGTCGCCATCAAAAACACTTTAAAGCAAATAGATAATTAAAAAAAAAACTACTGTGGGTCTACCATAATGGATCACAGAAGACCGCAAAATGTGGTAAGAACATGTCCCACTTTTTGTCATCTCTGGACTGTTACTGAATGGACCCATGGCAACATACATGTAGAATCTACTTGACTTCAATGTTAAAGACAATGTAAGATTTTAAAAGCGTTTCTCCTGATTACAATTATATTATTTGAGTGTACATGTACCTGCAGTTTTTTCCACCTTTAACCAAGGAGCAAATTCCTGTGATTGTTACACCAGTACACATGGCAAGATTTAAAACTTCAAGATTACGAAGTTCACTGATGGCTCTAAAATCAAAAGAGAAGACACTACTCATTAAAAGAAAGGGTGCATAAAGGAATAAATAGTCTGCAGAGGTAAATTACAGTCGAGTATTTAATATAATATTAATTTTTATTGCATAATTTACTACAAATGTCAATTTATGTTGTTCTTACCTTAAAATGGATGTAGAAACCTTGCAGGATTCCAAACTGACATGGGTCAGCTTTTGTGATTGCTGAAAATAAAAAAAACAAAACAAAACAAAACAAAACAAAGAATTACAAACGCAAAAATTATTTGTAGGAAAACAGATTTTCAATGTTTTGTGCCTGAAAACTTGAAAATTTGGAAATGGTCTTTTGATCTCTATTAAGTTCAATACATACCATGAGAAGGCAGAGGAGAGTGTCCTCTTGAAAACTGCAGGAAGTGGCATCTAATAATCTCAGGTTGAATAAAGACTTACTAAAAATGACAAAGAAGAAAGAAAATGAAAGAAAAAATGGTTTATGTTAGCTATTCATAATGGGTGCTTTGAAATAAATAAACCCAAACTGACTTTTGATGCAACATAAACTTTCTGAAAATGCTGGCCATACAAGGGTGGTACTGGAGAAAACTAACTTTGGTGACTTTGGTGACAGAGGAACTACATCAGGGAAGAATGGAGCATTGTCATCACATAAAGGTGAAGCAACCTGGAAAAATAACATTAAAAATGTTATCACTGGGAAACAATCTAAAACAGCATGTCCATACATGTATAATGAAACTAATAGACTGCATTAAATGGAATTGTAGAAAAATCATGGAAATGAACACACATATGTAGCAGTTACCTTTGCATGGGCTATGCGCAACACACTGGTTCTGCGTTTCAAAACTTTTCCTAACAAACCAGGTAGGAGGTTTGACTTGGTCATGTCTACGCGATGCCACAGACTTTCATCATACCTGGAAGAGAGTTTATTTAACCAATGAGACCTGATAAAAATAAAAAGAGATGCATTGTGTGCTGATCAATTTGAAGCTTCGACATCCCCTCACCCCAGGCAACCCACTGGCATTTGACTGCTGTCTGTAACTGGGGGTGCAGAATTTTAATCCTGCCAGGTTGGGGTGGGGAATTTGAACTGGAAGTGTAAAGTCTCTTCAGCAGAATACAAGTGTTAAACCTTGAAAAAAATGGGGGTATCTTAGGTAAACAGTTTGCTATAGCAAGCAAATGGCTCAGAAGAAAAATTCTATAAAGTCTAAAGGTTATAAGGCTTGGTCAATGTGTAGAAAGTCTTCGTTGCTGATTTAACCTATTACCAAAAATCTGAAAAAAAAAAATGAGAAAGGAAGGTGGGGCAGGAATTTGAATAAATTAATCTTCAACAGTTCAAATGCCCAAGGAGTTGCCCGGGGAAGGAGATATTGAAGCTTTGCATTGATTGATACATTGATGAAAATAATTGCCTGTGCTGCCTGTGTGTAAACTGGTGTTAACTTAAGCACCATAGACAATCATTAAAAACAAAAAAAAACCACTGACTGTTACTTACACTAATCTCTGCCAGTGTTTGCAAACTCTTGCACATCTTACTATTGCCTTCTTTGGCAAGAATCCAAAAATTGACATAATTATTTCATCAGAAAACATCATCCAATAATCTGAAATACAAATACATTGACATAATGTGAGGATGAAACTGAATACTAATGTTTTAACATAAAGGTTTAAAAGAGTTTAAACCCTTGCCTCCCAAGATCTCATTAGTAATTCTCCTTACTGTCTGCCATACAATTTTTATGATGTTAGCTTAGAGAATTTGGTATTGGATCAACTAATTATCCCCTTGATATTGTTCTTTATACTTATCACTTGTCTACTTGATATTGTATTGATGTTGTAGGGAGAAATTATGACTTGGTCTCTCATGGAAGGCATAGAGCTAACCAACAAGGAAGAATTTCTCATTTTCCTTCATTTGAGAGACTTTTCATTGATGTATTTTTCCAGAGTAAATTATGCCTTACTAGGAGTGGGTTTTTCCCTCACAACAGTTCTTTTTCTGTTGTGAACACAGTCTGTGCATTCTATTGATTTCGGTCCACTTTTCCAGGCTTTACACTTGGTGAATGATGAGCCACTTGCCACTAAACATGAAGTTTTTCCCCAATGACTAACAACAAACTTTTGACAGGGAGCCTGGAAAACAAGGCAAAAGAAGTGAAGTTGTACCTTAACCCTTTCAATCCCAGGACCTCATTAGTAATTCTCCTTATAGTCTGCCATACAATTTCTGTAATGAGAGTTTGAAGAATTTGGTATTGGATCAACTATCAATCCCCTAATTGATATTTCTTTTTATTACATGACTCGGGCAGTCAGAGGGCCAATAACTAAAATCAACCAATCAAAATGTTCTATTGCCAGTCAATATTCTGTAAGTATCGGACTGGGCAATGTCCCGAATGACACTGCACTTGTGTCCCTTTGAACTTCAGTCGTATAATAAATCTCTTATTAACCAAGCTTGCTCGGGACCGTACTGGAAGAATATTGGCCCTCGGTCTTTTTGTACGGACCGAGCGCAGCTCAGTCCGTACTGTCAAGACCTCGGGCCGATATTTTCCCAGTACGGCCCTCACGCTTGGTTAATAAGATATATTTATTCTTATCAAATATCAACCAAAGGATATTGTTTGATTTAACATCAAATTCTCAGTATGAAAATTACAAGAAGTGCATCTTAGGCAATGCAGAGAATTACTTTTTTGATCTAGAAAATAAAGGAACCAAGTTTTATGCCATCAATACCAGGTCAAATTTAACTGGCTTGGAAGTTTAGCCAACACACAGATTATTGCAGAAACAAAGAAGTTTTGACCTAAAACTTGTGTCCAGACTCTGTTGCTCTTGGGCGAAGAATCAGATTGTTCAATTAAACATTATAAGTCACTGAACAAAGCATGGTCGGCCCTGACCGACGGAGGCCTACTATACTATGCACAACTGGGGGGCCATATACACAAACGTGGCGGGAAAGTTTGAATTATACTCACAGACAAATTTATTATAATACATTAATATACTAGTTTTAACACAACACTTAATCCTCGACAGAAATTCATTCACAAAATCCCTATTCACCTGAAGAATGGAATGCCGATTTAGCGGATTCACCCTCATTATTTCTTGACTCAGTTCTCGTTCATCAGCGGCGGGCCATTTTAGCTCTGAAACGCCAAGTTCTTTGTATATTGGGTCAACCTTCGATCGACTGAACGAACAGGTTATTTTTAAAGTTTCTGGCTCGACCACATCCTTCTTTGGACGTTTCTGTGACCCTCGTTTGGTTCTTGCTGCATTTCTTTTCTGATCTTTCGTTCGCACAGCAGCCATTGCACTGCACCAAATCGAAGACAAATTTCCCGCTGAAAACAAGCAAGCGTTCGCCAAATCGAGGCACCATCATCGCCGTATCGAGGCAGGGGCAGAGGAAAGTTATTTTTGGACAATGGAATTAGGGAAACGGAAACATGGTGTCTTGTTTATAAAGTGTTTCGTAGGAGAAAGTTGGGCGGCAACATGCTCTTCTATGAAATTCAAACCATGCTCTGAGACCCCTTCTGATCACATAAGCTAAGTGATTTGAAGATTTGGGCTGTGCTATAGCGCGTTGGCGCAAACTTAACTGATCACGTTGAAAGAACATTCAAACAGTATTCTAATTATACGAAACATGGACGTTCAGAATGTCCCATCTTCAAGTTCCCGTTAAAACCAAGCTTTTGGGAAGCATTAAGGCTCAATTTTTCTGGGTCTGCCCTTCACAGAGTACAAACATGTTCTATGGTAAATGTAGTAGTAAAATTTGGACGTTTAACTGGTATGGTGTTCGCTTAGAACACGATGCTTTCCTTGTGAACTATGAAAGACCAGCGAGAAGTTAATTGAACTAATTCATCTGCAGAGTGCTATGTTGAATCGCCCCTTCTACTTCAAAAAATTACTAATTATAAACCGGATTTATAATTTATATTCTACATTCTCTAGTGTTTCTATTTTCTTTTGTTTAGTGATGCAGTTATATATACGAATTTCAAGCGGCTGTCTTTTTCTGGAAATGTTATTGATTTATGTTTACGCTTTATTTGTAATCTATCAGTATTGCTGTACCTCTAATTCCCGCCCGCCTCGACTAGCTCCTGCTATTTGCGGAAGTGAACGGTCTTCATGAACATGAAAGTTTGCTTCACAACCGATTAATGTTGATATCTTGTAAAACGTGTAGATTAGATTAATAATAATAATTAAGTAGATGTCAGTACAACTTATGAAGTTTAAAGGTCTAATAAAGGTTTGGATACAAGATACATTAATCCTTAACATCCCAAGAGTGACTAGCCACTAATTTCTCAGATACAATGAAATATATGAAGTTCATATATTTTGCACTGCGGTATTAGATACATATGATACACGATCCTCGCAGTAGATAGCGCTATTTAATCAATAGCGAAAATCAGACCTGAAAAAAATCAGGCCTGTACGGGATTCGAACCACTGACCTCTGCGATACTAGTGCAGCGCTCTACCAATTGAGCTAACAAGCCAACTGGGAGCAGGCCGTTAAGTTGATTCGTAATAAACCCGTGAAAGTGATAAATCAGATACAATGAAATATATGAAGTTCATATACAACAATAGTCATCATGAATAAGACAGAAAAAACAAAGGAGGNGTATCTAATACCGCAGTTCAAAATATATGAACTTCATATATTTCATTGTATCTGATTTATCACTTTCACGGGTTTATTACGAATCAACTTAACGGCCTGCTCCCAGTTGGCTTGTTAGCTCAATTGGTAGAGCGCTGCACTAGTATCGCAGAGGTCAGTGGTTCGAATCCCGTACAGGCCTGATTTTTTTCAGGTCTGATTTTCGCTATTGCTTAAATAGCGCTATCTACTGCGAGGAACGTGTATCATATGTAACTAATTTCTCCTTACAATATCAGCCCTGAATCAAACATTAAGGTCAGGAGAATAAAGGGTACGATAACCAACAAACAAAGCTCTTGGTTGATAACCAAATTCTCCTTGTCAGTACCTAAGGAAATGTATAGAGAACAGTATGGAGAATATGCATACTGATGTTCCGATATCCGCAAGAGAACACGTACTGTTCTTTTGATGTCTATTTTTATTAAAATGATGGAACATAGAAGGTAAAGGCGGCTGCGTTTATGAACGGTGTTCTGTGAGCGATGTAAACTTTGTTCATTTAAAAAAAAAAAAACAAAAAAAACAAAAAACAAAAAAACAGTAACCCTGTATAAGTTTCGCTACCAAAAAGTTTAACTAAAAATGAAACAACAGATGCAAGTGCTCCCAGCACCTTTACGGTACATCTTTGACACATTCACCATTCTAAACGCCGTCAACGGCATTGACAGCCTTTTACGCATGCAGAACAACCCGTTCTGGAAGAGAAAAGCTCATAGCAAGCAAAACCTGAGCAAAACCTGTGGCTTAAAGGTTGATTTGTATACTACACTACAAAACCCTCAGGAAAACCTTTTTTCCTCCCTTACGATTTCCTGACAAGACAAAACGATTTTTTCTTTTTGTTTTTTCAAGCAGTTTTTTTGCCTAGTTAAAGCTCTGCATGTCGTGTAGAGTGCTTTGATATTTGGAGTGAATACGTCAGTAGTTAAACGGAGAAAGTAATGTAGACACATTATTAAAGTCAAAAGATTACGAGCCAACTATGAATGCATGCTTGACATCGGGAAAGCCCGGCTTCAACTATGCTTACTTAGGCTGTCAGAAAGGGAGAGGGGGAGGTGGGGGGGAGGGACTTTACAACTCCTCCAGAATGCATTAAGGGGGTCAGTACGAAACCCCCAACGGCGCCGATCGTTGTCCTACCAACTTATCGTAACGTAACTACTCGAGGTCTTTGACAAAACCATGGATCACTTCGAGTCTCTTTTCACCGCATCACGAGGAGAACTTCTCTCGTGATTTCCGTGCGTTTTGTAATAAATACACTTCCTCTGCTGTTGACAGTTTCAATCTTTCTTTCTCTCTGCTCTCGCTGCTGCCTTTGCAGCGGCTTTGGCTTCTGACTTAGCTGTGGATTGAAATAGTGATAATCATAATCATGATAATAATGATAGTGAAAATGATAATGATAATGATAACACTAAAACATACCGATACGCGAACCCAGAAATGAATAACTTTTACTCTTCCTATATGCTTCAAACGGGTCCTTCATATCTGCACCAACTCCCTGAAGATAAAGACAATAATAAAATGAACTAAACCACGAACAATTCATTTATAATTCGTTCTAAAAGTCTGATATTGTCTCAAAGTAACTTCATAGTTCAGGTGGATTTTCTGCTCTTTAAGTCAGACGATCAGCAGACAGGCAGATACTGTCAGCACAGAGAAAATACAGTGGTGTTAACTTGTTCCTCACCTTGAACTTGTCAAACTTATCCCGAATCTCTCCCCCTGATATTGGATCCTGTATCCCTTGCATACTTCTACCCAGTCCAGCTCCTTCCCAACCTAACGATGGAACATATCATATTGTGTCACAAACAGTTCGTTTCAATAATGATGCGAATTACTATTGGCTTTGGCAATGTCGCTGATAGTTGTAAGTTAAAAGTTCTAAATATTCACATTTTGCATCTTAAGTGTTACATGAGAGATGGGAAAGTGACAAAGCTATGGCATGAATGAGTCACGCAATCGCAACCCTTGTACGAGTGTTGTTTAATGTCACGGTCCAACCCACCCATTTTCTTGAGCATCTGATGTCCAACATTACTTTCATCCAGTCTTTGTTCAGGGACCTTAGATGTATACGACGGACTGGAAAGAAAAAAAAAGATTAAGTCACCAAGCATTCTTCACAAATATTTCACATTCGAGCAAAATAAAATACAGCGGAACGTAATCTTTTCCCGTTAACGCACAGGTGTGCGTCTTATACGCCCAAAAAATGAAAAGGAAGCACAGTTTTTGCCAATGCGCGTCCTCGGGACGCAGGAAAAAGGTTCGGTCTCGTTAGGAGACTGGATCTGGCGGGCCCTACCCAAGAATTACTGCGATCATCATGGGATGTCCTTTGACCCGCTATTTTGTCGTGGTCAAGAGCATGTCTACTCAGAAGGGCTTACTCAATATATTCGATATTCGAAAGGAGAAACCTAGAAGTGATACAGATCTGGGGAATGATACCCAAGTGAAGAAACGCAAATTTTGTCCTAAATGGTTGGAGGAGTTTCAATGGTTAAAATATGATTCAACCGAAAAACAAATGGTTGGTGTTGAGAAACATGAGCACACTTTATTCCAAAATTAAAGCTCTATTAATAGCATTAACACCTGGTCTTGGCTTTTGCCTCTGTTAGAAACTATAAAATCAAATTTTAGTTAAGGGCAGGGAACCCCTAAAAAGCTAAAAGGACCCCCCACTTTTTGGAACTGGGGGTACCAAGGACCCTTAACTATCAAATCTAATGGGAACTCTGCTTTGGGACCCTTCTATTCCGGGAACCAACTCCTCTCTTGGAATACAATCCTTGATTCCGACTGAAAACTGCTCCTATCATTTTTGAATCTGATTCAGGGGGCACTTTTTATAGTACTGTCAGCTTCCCATGAATAGAGGTCCATCAGCATTTTTTACCTTCATTGAAGGGACGCCTCTATTCAGGTCCAAAAGGGATCCCTCAAACTTTTAAGTTTGAGTCGAGGGACCCCTTTTGGAGCTTAAAAGTTCCTCTAGAATAAAATTAAAAAAAAAACAACAACAAAACAAAAATAGATGAGAATTTTTTGGAAAACTTACTGAAAACTTGGAGGCGTTGGACTTCTACCAGGACTTCTGTTTGACTTGAACATTGGTGAGATTGAACGTGATCGTGACTTGGAGCGTGAACGTGAGCGTGATCTCGAACGTGATCGAGACCTTGAGCGCGACCTGTAAGGAAAAAGTCAAATGCAATGTACACAATGGGTAGGCCAAGCATAGGTGAAATGTTGAGAAAAGACCATAGGGCACCCACACAAACTGTGTGATTTTTTTTGTTTATTTGAATTTAAAAGGGCTGTATCAAGGTAGTAACTAGTGATGAATCATCTCGTTTAACCTCAAGGGTTTGGTAAAAAACCCTTATCTGACCGGAAAGGCACGTTTATCTTGTGTTTAATGCCGTGAGATTATCCGTCGCAAATAGGTACGGTGATGTGAAGCTTTACGACATTCCCAAACATTTCCTCTAAATTGCTATGTACAAACGGTGTGCTCTGCTAATGGTCTTTAACAATAATTTACCTTCTTTTTCTTGGAGAGATAGACTTGCTCCGTGAATGCCGTCTTCTAGGTGATCTGGAGCGAGAACGAGACCGCCGCTGACGAGGGGATTGAGAGCGAGAACGAGAACGTGGCCGGGGAGATCTGGACTGGGACCTTGATCTGCTCGTTGGAAGTTCTTGCACTTTGTGTTTCTCTGCTTCCTCTCGATCTTTTATGTACTTAAGCTTTGCCTTGTAAAACTCAAACAAGCCACTTTGCTCCCACCCTTCACTGCAGGAAATGTGCAACAGACACCATGAATCAAAATGCCAAAAATTTTACTTACAAAAAAACAACAACAAATATATAATAGCAACAAAGCTTTCTGAAATTTACCCTAGATAAAGAACGTCTTCCGATGGCCTTCGAGCTCTTTTCGAAGTTTCCCAAGAATTCCGGAATACAGAGTTTAAAATGTCTAGTCTCAAAAACACATTTATCATTCCCGGAAACGACTGCCTCAAAAAAAAGTACAGAACAACAAAATATTTTCATAGATCAACCGTAAAATCTAAGAGCCCAAATTGATGGTACGTTATCCTTCAGAAATTTACGCAACTAAACGAAAAGTAAACTTGCAAAGTTTCGTATTGATTTCCGAAGACTACCTGCTCACAGACACTGAAATTTCCCAGGCACGAAGCTAAAAAGAAGAAACAATCCTCGAAGATTGTCATCGTTTTCTTTATATCAAAGGTGGGAATTAAATTAAAAATTCGCTAATATATTCTCTCCTCTACTCTCTTCACATGCGCACTTGAAATCGGATCAATATCTGAGCGTTGTTGAGGTTTTGCTGAGCAACTGCGTACCTACCCCTCCCCTAACACAACAGAAACCCCAATTTGTTACCAGTTGATTGCTGGGTTAAGGGAGGGGTGGGTGCGCAGTTACTCAGATACTATTGGAAAATTCATTACTTGATGAGGGAATTCCGCATTAAATTGCACGCAAAAACCGATATCGCACTCATCGCTTCGCGATTCCTGCCGGTTTTCAAGTGCAATTCAATGCGGAATTCACGTGTGAAGGAATGGATTTTCCTTGAATCGCATAACGGAATAAAAATGAGAAAAAAAAGGAAACAGCATTACTAAAATTTGTTATGCTTACGAAGATGCGAAACAATTTCACTTAGCCTCGTTTTCAACTCGCAATTCCACGTTAAATACCTCGCTTCATTAACCAAACAGAATGCGAGATTTTATTATTCAATGATGCGATTCTAACATTAATCTTTAAGATCTCTACCGGAAGCGCAGGGTGAAGCTCGATGTCAGTCAGACTGACTTACCTGTTCCTGGGCCTCTCGTGACTTGGTGGACTGTAGAACGCTTCTACTGCAGAAAGAAGTCTTTCGCTTGGTGGCTGTGGTGCAGGAAGACGAAGAGAAGCTGGATCTATCGGCTTGTAGTCCACATCTGGCAGCTTTACCAGGAATGAAAATGAGATCTGTGTTTACAACACTATCCCTTAAATTATGATTACCCTTCATTAGCAATTACTTGGTGGTCAATTTTCTATAGTCCTCCCTCAATACTGTTTGCTACGACTGATCCCCCCGAAAATCCTTCACCCCCCTCCCCCATGGGTGATAAATAATGACTGGTCTCTTGGAAGATTTGTATGTTATTGAAAGAGAAGAGGGGAGGGGTCTCATGGGCATATTAGTGCCCCCTTACCCACCCATCCCCTGGAGAGCTGTAACAGTTACAGATCCGGAACTTACCCCTACTAATGGAGCCATGAGACCAGCAGGTAGATCATAGTACATTGCAGTTGGTATAATAGGCTCAGGTATGGAAGGTTCAGGTGGTATCTCGTACTCCTCCATGCCGTATCCCTCCTCCTCCTGCATTCTGCCATGATTGTAGTCGTTCACCATGGGTGGGGGAGGACCCCTACCCTCAAACTGCTCAAACTCTGGCATCTGGTGTTGATAGTCGAACTGTTGCGGTGGACCACGGAATTGAGGTGGTGGTGGCCTGTGTTAAAGCATTAGACATTAGTTTTCTATTAGTATAATACTTGAACATACTTTAAATCGCTCTTCTTCTTTAAATTGCTATTTTTTATTGTCGAAAAATTGTACTTCATAGGTATGTATTTTCCTTTTTGTTCAAACTTTTTTATTTTATACTCCTTGTACATAATTTTGAGGTAATTTTTAAATTTTTAAATCTTCATCATGTAGTCTTAATTTTACGCAGGGCCCCTTTTGATAACAGCCTATGGCTGATAGGGCTACCCTGCCTAAATAAAGATGACATGACATGAAAGCCACAGGGATAGTAAAGTTACAATGATACCATGGCTAATAGGGCAACCCTGCCCAATAAAGATCACATGACATGAAAGCCACAGGGATGGTAAAGTTACCATGATACCATGGCTGATAGGGCCACCCTGCCCAAATAAAGATCACATGACATGAAAGCCACAGGGATAGTAAAGTTACCATGATACCATGGCTGATAGGGCTACCCTGCCCAATAAAGATNTAAATGATGGAATATACCGAGATCATAAAAGTTCATAATGTGTTTGTAAGTTGAATGATTAAATGCAGCTATCTAATGAGCTGTGGCATGCTGACTCTTATTTTTTTGGTGAATCAACGAGCACTGCTAGTGTATCAACTCACCTCACATGGTATCCTTCATCATGGAAGTTGGGAGGTCGGGGCCCACCAAACATTGGTGGGGGGTGTCTGAAATCTGGTACGTAGGGTGGAGGAGGAAAATGAGGAGGAAAGGGTGGTGGACCACGCCCATAGAACTGAGGTCTCTGATCACCAAATGGGGGAGGGAAGGGTGGAGGATGTTGCTGATAAGGTGGTGGTTGGAATGGTTGCTGCATGGCTGCCTCCTCCTGCTGACCCAATTGATAAGTGACTAGTAAGAGGGGGTGGGTGTTACTTTGACTTTTGTGAATGTTATATGCACCAATGGCCTCTTGAAAGTGCTTAGTATGCTAATTCAGAACTAGAGCTAAGTTCATTTGTTGCAGAATTTAGATACATCACATCTGCAGGTGTTTTTTTCTTTTTGCTTTAAAAGGGTTTTTACACATGCTGTTCACCAAGCACACATGAGCAACACATTGAATTTGGGAGCATAAAAACCACTTCACTAATCAAGAATTTTTCTTTTCAGTTTGATAAACCCTCACCGTCCAATCGCGAGTTGAGAATGAGGCTAAGTGATATTGTTTCACACCTACATATATTTAACAACTATCAACAAATTATAACACCATAACTGCAAAAAAGTTACTCAATTATGCAATTATGCAATTCAGTGAAAATCCACCAACTGACTCCTGAATTCTGCATTAAATGTACTTGAAAACTGACACTGCACACATTGTTTCATGATTCATCTGAAATCAGTTTTTTGCATGCAATTTAAAGCTGAATTTCCTCATCAGATAATGAATTTTCTTATAATATACTCCTGGGTGGTGAGCACAACACATTGACCCAGCCAGGACTCAAACCCAGACCTCCCTCAGTAACTTTGTCTCTCATTGTACATGAGTTGATTTTCTCTTGCTTCTCAGTCTAAAACCAGATAATCCCCTCAAGAAAAAGCATTTATCACACAACTAGAATTTTAATACCTTTACGTTTTGTATCCTCGTCTTAGCATCTTCTGATGGCATTTTCTCTGTGTTTTCTTCTTTTCCTTTCTCAATGACTTGTTGTGGTGCCTCATCCCTTGTTTCTTTGGAGACTCCCTCTACTTTTGGCTGCTTCAAATTATCTGAAGAAACCCATTTGGAACACTTAAGACCCTTCTCTAAATTATTTGTAGCAAACATTAAATGAAAACTAGTTTGAGCTTGCTGCTTCATTACTTGAAGATTAACTACTCGGAGGCCATCTTGTTACAATTCAAGACCAGACATGTGCAAACAAATTTTACCTTGCAGAACAATTCTGAAAAAAAGCACTGAACTCATGAAAGATTTAGGAGCTATCTAGTGGTGAACATAGGTTGAAGTACCTTCTCTTCCAGGAGCTTGCAGATCTGACTGTGGATTCTGTTGGGTATCCTGTGGCTGCTGGTAATATGGTTGACGGTGTTCTGGTGCTACATAAAAACCTTGATTGAACATTTGTTCCCGGGCTGCATCAACATTACTCTGACCTGCCTCAGTGTTTTTCAGTTCCTGCAGTAAGATATTATTAATATCAAGAAAATTATGATTTCAATTTCTGCTTAATTGCAACTTATAACTTTAAGTAACCCTGATGAATTATTCAACTATGTTAAAACAACAAACTGATAAACTATGCCTAAAATCATAGTGAAAAGCAGTATCAACATTTTTGCTCAAAAAGCTTAAATACAGATTTCCCCAACTAATCATTATGATACAAAATTTTTCCCACAATCTCTCAGAATGAGACTCAACTCTTTTACCCTCACTAGTGACCAAGACAGAATTTCTCCTTACAATATCAATACAATATCCAGCAGACAAGTGATGAGAATACACAAAAAATATCAATAGAGGTTTTGGACAGCAGCCATATTGGATGGCAGGAACAATAAATTATTTTACCCATGGGAAAAATTTTTCTTTCTTATGCAAAATATTTTCATTGTTCCTGCCATCCAACATGGCTGCTGTGCAAAACCTCTATTAGGGGATTTTTAGTTGATCCAATACCAAATTCTCCACACTAACATCATAGGAAATGTATAGCAGACAGTAAGGAGAATTATTAATGAGATCTTAGGAGTGAAAGGTTTGAAAGGAAATATCAAATTAGTATTATTCTTAGTTTTTATTTCTGTCAAAAAATCTTAACCACAGTTATAAGTTAAACATACACAAACATACAAAACTCACTTGTAGTAAGGATGGCTCAAAAAGATTATGACTTTCCCAAATTCCTAAAACTTTTGTTATTTTCTGCAGATTTTCAGCTGATTCCCCTATCTGTGTACAGAAAAACAAAGGCACTACAATATCTTGAAGACTCTTCTGAAGGTCCTGTGCTCCTTTCCTTTGACAGTGGTGAAGAATATCATTGACAAGGTAAACAATGTGAAGTTTGTGTTGAAACTGCATTCCTGGACCAAGGGCTCTACAAGATATTAGATAAAGGAAGAGGAGTCAAGAGCATGATAATTTTGATAATTAGTTCTTATTAACCGAGTGGGAGGTCTGTATGGGAGAATCTTCACCGAGGTCGCCAGTAAAGACCGAACTCAGTGAGGTCTGTACCAGCGACCGAGGTCAAGATTCTCTCATACAGACCCACCTAGCTCGGTTAATAAGATGTTTATTATAATTATGGCTTTGTCTTATATGCTAATTATTTATATTCTTAGTATCTTTTTTTTTTTTTTTAGACCGGTCTAGATGCCGGTCTAGATGGGAAAATCTAGACCGCTTTCAATATTGATTTCAGCCAATCAAATTCATGAATTTGGTAGTTCTCAGTCCTTGTGAGACACAGCCATATAATAAGATAAAGAATTAAAATTCAACTTCTCCCTATAACGTCACTATATTTTCAAGCAAACTGGTAATGAGAATAATTTGGTTATATCAACTAAGTTGAAATTGTAAATTGGCCATTGTAACGAATCAAAAAGCTGACGCTTTGAGCATTAGCCCTTTGTCAGAAGGGCTATTCGTTACGGTGGCCAATTTACAATTTCAACTTAGTTGATATAACCAAATTACCTTGTTATCCCCACCAACGTAGCAGCACAGTTTCTTTAGAAACTTTCAGCCTTTATTCATTGGTAATGAGAATAGACTACATTATCAGGTTTTTATTTGATTTAACACAAATTCTTGCTACCAGTTTGATAGGAAAAGTGAAGCAAAAGCATAAGAGAATCACAAAATGATCTTGGGGTGACAATAAGTATAGGCACATCATTATTACACTTGTAGTTCAAAAGTGCAACATTGTCCTTTTGTGTGTGGTAGAGTAAGGAAAAAAAATGTCATTCAGGACAACCTCCCCCTTAAAAAAAAAAAGCAAAGGGGTAGGTAGGGGGGATGGGTGAGCAGTTAAGGAGAGGGTGAAAAGAAGAGTTAATGTAGTTTCATTCTAAAATCTGTGGTGCAGACCATAATAACTAGTGAAAACAAAAAAGATAAATTGTCTTAATATTACAGCAGCTTATAGGTACCAACCTCTTAAGCAGATACTGAGAAATCTGCAAGCAGCTTGTCTTTGTCTTGGCATTGGTGAATATGAAATTCTTTCCACTCTGAAAGATGAATCATTCTCTGGTTTGTGATCAAGGGACTCTTTTTATTTCTTGTTTGGGAAAGAAAGGAGAATTTTCTCCAGGTCTGAATTGAATATAGGTCAGACCACCAAAATAATGGAGGGGAAATTCTTCCACCTCTACTGAAAAATTAAAACCCCAGAGTATTATTTGACAAGGCAGTCCTAAGGTAATTCCAAACATTCTGATTGGTTTTTTACTTGGTCTTTATTTTGACATAGGGACCACTTCCAAGGAAAGGGTCATGAGCCATGTCTTTTTGTTTGCAAAAGCCAGAAAACTCAAAATAAACAAGCTTGGTCCAAGTGCCATATAATAAAATACTTACTAACCTTCCTTCGAGTCGTACTGGAGAATATTGGCCCTTAGTTGTTTTTGCATGAACCAAGCCCCACAACCTGGGGCCAACATTCCCCAGTATGGCCCTTGTAATTGAATAGTAAGAGAGGTTTTCATCAAAATAATGTTCATATATCATTGAAAAAAATCTGATTTCATTTCATCTCAAGTAATTACAACATTTAAATTACAAAAAAAACATAACTCCAAGAAGTTGGTGAAAAAAAAAAAAAAAAACAAACTAGTTGCTTACAGATATAGAATCCTTTGTGCATGACTCCATGATCTTATGCAACAGGTTTTCTAGTTCTGTCATATCTACTTCATCGGCTTGCTGCTGAACAGGAGCAGGAGGCTGATACCTGGCTGCAGTAGCTTGGGCCTGCTGTTGAAGGGCTTGCATCTGGTAATAAATCAAATTTCACAACATTTCTCAATCTCAAGGCAACAGACAGTAATAAATTGAGGGGAGATCTATCATAAATCAACAAGTTCATAGTTCTTCTGTACTCTTCTGGAGTATTAATATCAAAGAATACTTCAGATCTGAGATCAAATTTAAATTTACTGAGAGACCTAAGAATAGATCTGAGAAAAAAAAAAAAGTCCTATAATTTCCTATCATAGCATATTAACATTGTAGTGACTAGCAACTCTCAGAGCATATTTTTCTTAAGAACACTCAGATTTTGTCCCTAGATAACTGTGTCATACCTGGAAAAAAAATTAAACATTTGTTTTTTTTTTTTTTACCTGTTGTTGAGCCTGCTGTTGTGCTTGTTGCCATGGAGCTGTATTTATTGACTGTTGAACAATAGCTTGTTGCACCAAATGAGCTTGCGGATTTGTAGGAAATTGTGCTGTTGCTTGCTGTGCGAGTTGTTGCTGGTTTTGTAAATGTTGTTGGGTTTGTTGCTGAGCTAATATAAAATAAATGAAAACAAAAGCTATTGTGGTTTCATCAAATAAACGAAAGTTCAAGTCAAACTCAATTACATTTTTGTTAAGTTCAAACTCTTTTTCTCTTTCTATGCAGGGAAGATATGGAAAATAAAATTAATATTGAGCCTAATAAGAACAAATTTAATGTTTTAACTCCTGTGAATGACCAAGACAGAATTTCTCTTCACACTTTTAATACATTATTAAGCAGACAAATGATGAGAATATAGACAAATATCAATCAGTGGATAATTAGTTGATCCAATACCAAGTTCTCTGAACTAAGATCATAAGAATTGTAGAGCAGACAGTTGTGAGAATTGCTAATGTGATCTTGGGATTGGAAGGGTTAACAAATGAGCTTGATTTAAAATACACCACTGTGGGGATGGTGTAATCTTATTTACATAAATAAATGTAACATTGAGTTTCTTTCAAAATTATAACATTACTTGTGTTTCCATTATATTATAACAACATACAATAAGATTGGTGGCAAAGCAGCCATTCAGATGAACATCAGGGGCAAACAAGTGTGAACCCTCAGGGCTGTGGTCTAGCAGTGCCCAGTGGCCCCTGGCGCCTTATTTTTGCTCTTGGGCAACTTAGCTATCTTAGTTTGTTCATAAAAAGCATATGCTGGGCACCCTGGATTTCACAGTTTCTGAGCACTGGGCCCCTTAAATTTTTCTTAGAACACAGCCTTGACTCTCATTCTTGCACACTGCTACAAACCCAGAGATTTCATTAATGTTTTCAACAGGAGGGCAACTGGTTTTTACAGGCCGGAAAAACTTTTTGAATTGAACTTCACTATAAGATAAACTTTCCTCCAGATCGTCAAACCAGGTGAGCAATTTGCCTGGAACCCGTCCCTTAATGAAACCCCTGCAAACCATTTGCACCTGTAAATCAGCCATCATTGAGTTTCTTGAGTTGACGTTTCAAGCATTAGCCCTTTGTTAACCTCTTGCTCTGACAAAGGGCTAGTTCCTGTAATATCAGCATTAGTAACTCTTTATAGTGGACAATTTATATTATCAGCTTAATTGATATAACCAATGCAAATTACCTTTTAATATCCCCCTCCCCACCCCTGCTATTACACCACCACAGTTTGTTAAGAAACTTTCCCCTTTTATCTAAATGTCTACTATGCAGATAAAATCAGCTACAGATTTCTTACCAATTTCAAATGAAACCTTCCATCTGTAGTAATTGTAGTGCTCTCCACTGAACAAAAATGCAAACTTTGGGTTTCCTTTCTGTTTCTCCTTGGTCATATCCTCAAACTTGCTGCCATTTCGGGCAACAAAGTTTGCAAGTTTGTCGATGATGTTCTTCTGATCTTGATCTTTAAATTAACACAAAATCAGCTGAGATTTTAAATTTTACATCTTCCATAAATGTCTATTACTCACAGTAAGATAAGAAAAAAAAACTTATACTGCTGATGTACCTTCTGGGGGTGGAAACGGAGGAGTTTGAGATACAGCCATCTCGGAATCCAATGCTGAAAAAACCTTCTACACTGTGCTACAGCGAGTCTCAAAATGATTCCAGAAGAGTCAAAGATGAAAACCTTGCGTTAATTTAAGAAGAAAATTATCGTGGAGTTCCCCCTTGCATATGTAAAAAAAACAAATACTAAAGGAAACAGTTCATGATTTCATCATCGACGCTTCATTCGCACTAAATCCTCAACTCATCAACTTGTGCAAGCCGCCATGATTTCCACGAGCATGCAAACTCTCCCCAGGTTTTCGCGGCCATGAAAAACAAGAGCCTTTTCCAACGCATGCGCATAGTTATTGCGTAATGCTAAATCCGCTGGCGAAATTTGTTGAATAAGGGAAGGTGTTTCGACTTGGCATTTTAAAGTTTGGGTGGCCAAGATATCGCCAATTTTGGTTAGAAATGGCCCTTCGTCGTGTTTTAAGACGTATGGTAACACCGTCAAATAATGTATTTCTTTTCTTTCGTGCTCAAAGCACGAAAAGCGCCGCGATCGGTATCCTTCAAAAATTTCATTGTGATGTGTTATGCAAGATTACTAACTTGTACTGTTTGTCAAAATGACACTAAAATAGTCCGCCGATGTCCGGTTTTGATTCCTTAATTATTACATCTATAGCTGAAGAAACAACCAAGGAGAAAAAAAAAAGCTTCAGTAAGTAATATGGCTGGAAACGGTTTAAACAGAACGCCTAGGCGTGCAACTGTGGCCAAAATACTGTAGTCGTTTGGGGGCGTGTATGGGGGTGTTATATCTGTTGTAGTTCAATTTTATCCACGGTTCAAATTTTATTTTCCTTTGTTTCAAACTCGTTATTATAAATTAACATGACCGAGAACAAAAGAAAATAAAATTTGAACCAAGGATAAAATTGAACTACAACATATCCACAATTGTTAACCCCTAACTCCCGAAAGCGACTAACGTGTAACTTCTCCTTATAATATCCATACATTATTCAGCAAACAGGTAATGAGAATATTCAAACTTATCAGGTAGAGGTTGTTATCTTGATCTACTGTAACACCCAATTCTTGTAACTTATCTGCAAAGAAATATGTAGCTATATGGTGGGGTACTTCAATAATTTTAATAAATACCTTTAAATTGTTACCTGCTGTAATCCACCTATCAGGGATCTAATTGCTGTCAAAAGAAATGTTTCTATAACAGCTGCGTGACTTGAACAGCAAGTTAAGAACAATTTAATATCAATATTTGTTTAAAGAATACTGTGTCTTTCATTTAGTGAGATTCAATTGGCAAGATCCTTTGAGTCTTGAAAGCTGTTTGACTGAAGAAGAGATAATGGTCAGGGATCAGTTTAGAGATTACTGCCAGGAAAAACTCATGTCAAGGATTTTGATGGCAAACAGACATGAAGGTTAACATCTCAAGTGTGTCAACATAATTTAAGAATTGGACCATCTGAGAATATACTTTACTAGCAAATAATGATCTAGCTTTTTTACAATATGGACTACATTCTGGATTTTTCAGTGCAAGAAGACTTTGTATGAGAAAAAACTGTGCCCTTAGTTTAGAATACTGCCTTTGCCTTTCAGCCTCAGGCTGTACACAAGACCTCGGACACAGTTGATAACCTATGTTAATTTATGAAGCAAGCATTTACTGAATCTTCACTATGTTGTCTTTTTAGTATTTGATAAAGATATTATGACAGAAATGGGATCCCTGGGAGTTCTTGGTTGTACAATTAAAGGTTAGCAGATATTCTTGGTTGTTTGACTGCAATGAAATGTACTTTCTCACACACTATAGGATAATTTTCACATTTGGCTTTCATTATTCGATCATTCCTAGGTTATGGATGTGCAGGTGTGTCTTCTGTAGCATATGGACTTATTGCAAGAGAAGTTGAAAGGTCAGATAAAATTTTGCACATATTTTTACTAAGGAATCTTTAGTTAGTGCTTTTTTAAGTGAAATGTGTTTTATATTTTTGATATAGCTCATTAGCATACTGGTGACTTGTGATCATTGTCACCTTGATCTGTGCTTAAATGAGGGAGAATTATGGATATTACTAACAGTGTATCTCCATTGACCCTTTTGCACCTTAACATCAGTATGCATATTCTTCATACTGTTCTCTATACATTTCCTAAGGTGCTGACAAGGAGAATTTGTTTAATAATCAAGAGCTCCTTTAGTTGCTGATCATTTCCTTTATTCGCCTGACCTTAATGTGTGATTCAGAGGTGATATTGTAAGGAGAAAGTAGATGTTAGTTATTCCTAGGGGTTAAAGGGTGAAAGGGATAAATTTCACACTCTTGAGTTTGCAAAGAGATATTTGTATAAAGCACCCTCTTTACCACAGGGAATGGAAACAAATGTTTTGAATCATATTTTTATTTACGACTATTATAAAAAAATCCTGTTTTGTATAAATTCTGAAAGTATTATGTTTTGTATCCTGTGAATAGGGTGGATAGTAGTTATCGGTCAGCTATGAGTGTCCAGTCCTCTATGGTAATGCACCCAATAAATGCTTATGGAACAGAGGAACAGAGGCAGAAATACTTGCCACAGCTGGGTGAGAAATATTACTTGATGTGCATCTGACTTGAAAATAATGTCAGTGGTGGAACATTTTACAACTTTTAGTTTGTGAATAGGCAAAGCATTGGAACAAGTAGCATGGGCATTCAATCAGCAAATTTCATGATACTAGCATGGCCATAGGTGTCAGAAGAGAGCATGCATCTTATATACCGAATGCAAATATGGCTTCCAATTTGAGTTGCCATTGTTCTGGACTCACTAGCCTCTCACACATGTAATAATCCTTTTGTGTTTCCACGCGAAGACGAGGCTAGTGAGTCCAGAACAATGGCAACTCAAATTGGACGCCATATTTACATTCGGTGTATTAACCCTTTACTTCCCAGTAATGAGCAAACCAAAATTTCTCCTTACAATATTAATACAATATCAAGCAGACATGCTTAGAAGATATAGGAAAATATCAATTAGAGGATTTTTAGTTGATCCAGTGCTAAATTCTCCAAACTAAGATCATAATAATTATATGGTGGACAGCAAGGAGAATTGCTAATGAGATCTAGGTAGAGAAAAGGTTCAAGATGGTGGACTGATATGGTGGACTAATATGATTGATCAATTAGCTAGGAGTTCAATAGGGCTTCTAAACTAAAAACTATTATAAATGTTTTCACATCAAGCACAAGGCAAGCTGATTGGCTGTTTTGGTTTGACTGAACCTAACCAAGGTAGTGACCCAGGTGGAATGGAAACAAGAGCCAAGTATAATTCGGCTGGAAACAGTTATATTCTTAATGGAAGCAAAAGCTGGTGAGCTGGGCCTTATTTATGCTACTATCTAAATATTTTAAATTTATTTACTGTAAAAAATAAATAAATTGATAAATAAAATGAATGAATTTTTTGATATTTTAGAATGTTGTTGTGAAATCTGTATTATTCAAACTGTGTTGTATGGACAGTTACGCCTTGCTTTAAACCTTTTTGATATTATTTTGTTCATCCAGGATTACTAATTCACCAATAGCTGATGTGTTCATTGTGTGGGCAAACTGTGAAGACAAGAGAATCAGAGGCTTTATCTTGGAGAAGGTTTGGAAACAAAACTTTTAGATGTAAAGAATATCTGACTGAAATTACACATAGTTCTTTTTCCCATGTCTCTGCAGGGAATGAAGGGACTCTCAGCCCCTAGAATTGAAGGGAAATTTTCTCTGAGGGCTTCTGTAACAGGCCAGATTGTCATGGAGGATGTGGAGGTTCCAGAAGAAAATCTTCTACCAATTGTGGATGGGCTGGAGGTATTATTGACAAATTATTAACTTTTATCAAAGTAATTTTTTTTTTCAGGAACAACAAAGAAGAATGGTTACACTCTTTTGTTTTTCTAGGAAGATATCTTAACTAACCTGATGATGATGACTAAATAAAGGACCTTAACCATTTACACTCTAACATCAGTATGCATATTCTCCATACTGTTTTCTATATGTTACCAAAAGGTGCTGAAAAGGAGAATTTGCTTAACAATCAAGAATTTTTTTTGAGCTTGTTATCATTTATTTTAATCTTAGAACCTTAGTGTGTAATTCAGGAGTGACACTGTTAGGAGAAATTAGATGCTAATCACTCTTATGGGTGTAAAGTGCCAAAGTCAACCTCATTCCCAGGGTCCATCATCTTCAGGGGGCGGGAAGATGAGAGACCCTGGGAATGAGGTTGGGCTAAAGTGCAGTTTATCATCTAAGTCTTATGACAAACAATTCATGAATATTAGCAATATGTGAAAACAAGATCAGAGAATTAGGAAATTTAAGGTAGATCGTATTAATTTTATGGTGTTTATTTTATAGTGCATGGTGATGCATTTCCATTTATCTCAATCCTTTTTTTCCTTCGTCAATAGGGGCCCTTTGGTTGTCTGAACAATGCTCGATATGGCATTGCATGGGGAGCTCTTGGTGCTGCAGAGTTTTGTCTTGCTACAGCCAGGCAATACACAATGGACAGGTGGGGAAATACTCAGAAATTCTTATTGCCTGAGTGGGGTTTGTTCAAGGATTCTTTTACATTTAGCTAGTATTTATTTGGTTTGATTTGACTTTCCAACAAAGTTGTAATGTGTTGTTTAGCATTTGCACTTATGCTACAAATTTAGGGATGAGGTTAGATTTTTGACACTTCATACTTTTGGTAAAGAAGTACGTACTTATCTTTTCCCAAGGGTCCAGTTTAAGAGACCACTGGCAGCCAATCAACTAATGCAGAAGAAAATGGCTGATATGGCAACTGAGGTTAGTTATTTGCTATCAAGACTGCTCAACTGCTTTTTGTTTTCATTAATATGATTATATTTTTGCCTTGATATTAAATTTTAGGTATAGAGACAAAAGAATTTTGGTGATTAGAAACTTACAGCAAGGATGTGAAAAGTATGCAATTCAAGAAGAAAGTTGTCAAACTCCACTAAATCTCCTTCCTGGTGAAATTGATCAAATTCCGTAATGTGTTATTCCTTTATACAGATTGCCATTGGGCTTCAAAGCTGTCTGCAAGTTGGAAGGCTTAAAGATGAAGGACAGTAAGTTGAACTCTCACAAGATTTAATGCTTTAAAAAATAATGTGCAATGGTTGTAATCAGCTGATGTAAAACATTTATGTTATTAGAATCACTGGTTTCTAAGTGGGAATAAGTTCCATATCTTATATGTTTTAACTCACAAAATATCATTATTTGAAATCACTTCTCTAACTGATTTTGTTTTACTAATTAAAATAGATACTGCCCAGAAATGATTTCTATGATCAAACGGAACTCATGTGGAAAAGCATTGGACATTGCACGAATGTCTAGAGACATGCTTGGAGGTAAGTTACTGCGAGGAATGCCTTCATACATTTTAAGTTTCCATATTAGCAATTTTCTAAACAAAGTGAACCAAAGACTCGGAACCTACATGTATTTTGTGGAACATTTGCATAAACTTTAAATTGTTTTTGTTTTTGGTTTTGCTTTTTTTTCAAAACACACAGGGAATGGAATCTCAGATGAGTATCATGTCATCCGTCACGTAATGAACTTGGAAGCTGTAAATACATATGAAGGTGAAAATAATTATCATTACTTCACAGGGTGGAGTACTGAAGAGACATTTATGAACTGTGTAACCATACCTACCCCCAGTACCTATTTTCTATCTGGGAAGAATGCATTGGTTTAAAAGATAACGCGGGATCTTCCCTCCTTTTTTCATTGTGGGAAACTTCAATTTGTTTAGAAGGGGATATATAGTCAGCATAGAATGCACAGCAAGTGTTTGTCATGTAAATGGGAAAGGAGCAAAGTAGATTGGTGAAGGAGAGGGAAGGTGAGATGTGTTCTTTCTCGCAGAAGTGACTGATGTTTTGTCCTCTGCATCTGCACATGATCTTTGACAATTTGTGGGCATAAGGGGTCCTAAAGTGACTAGGGTGTTCACAAAATCTGTTCTTCTTCATTCCAGAGAGGTCATGTGCTCCTCAGACACCCTTCCCCCCCCTGTTCTTTTCTTAACTTTTGCAAAGATCCCAGTGTTTATTGACTGCTTACTAAGTTTTTATATTTTTGTGTTCAGGAACTCATGACATACATGCACTGATTCTTGGAAGAGCAATCACAGGACTTCAGGCTTTCACTGGCCGTTAAATACATCAATGTCACTGAATATGTTTCAGAGAAAAGGGAACAGGAAAGCACAACTTTCACACCTGTCACTAAATCTATATGTATTAAATTATCAATTTGATGCAATTGTAAATGCCAACATTAACTTTTAGTTACTGCTAATTTATTTTATTATACATTTAGACCTACTATGTAAACTCTGATTGGTCGGTAGCATACAGTCAATAAACACTAGTGTGTGAAGTTGACATTACAACCCAATTTCTGAAGCAGATATTGGGTTATCATGTGAGATCAAACTCTGCAGTCTTAAATTGCCTTGTCCATGTAGTGTTCTGAAAATTCTAAGTGTCATCTTATGCAGATTATATGATAAAGCAATTATTGAATTCAATTTTCGCATGATAGCAAGAATTATCAAACCTTGTGTTGGTGTTATCTGATAATTCAGACCTCAGGGTTGATAATTCATGATGTCATGCTCAACCTCATCTAATAATTGCTTAGTATATGGATAAAACACAACAAGGTTTTTCAGTGTTCGGACCACATGCAAAAATTGCCTCTGTCAGACAAGTAGATCACTGACAAGTATCTTTTGGTAAATTTTCATCCAGCTATAGTAACTGACACTCAGCTTATTGATTTTAATACATCTGTTTACTGTACTTAAATTTTGAGAATGTGAGAGAGAACAGAGAACAGCACATCTCAATTTTTAAAACATTGTAAGAAAACAGTATGTATTCAATTTTATACATACAAATTATTTTTAGCATTAATTGTAAAAACTCTTGGATGTACATTTTATCAGGAGATCCTCATGATTTTTGTCATAAATCAAGAGCACTAGTTTTCAAGTTCATAGATAGAAAGCTCCTACGCCACTCCATGGTTTGGGTAGTTGTGGTGCTTGTTGTTTGGAAATTCAACTTATTTTTGAAATATTTATTGGAATGAGAAAGAAATGTCAGTGTGTAGATGGTACAGTATAAACTAGTAGGTGTGAAAATAAACTTGGTAACTGAAACTAAGGTGTAACTTACTGATTGTAAATTTTTTGTGATGTCCACCATTTAAATCTAAATCTGGTAGTACAGTGCAGCACATTTTATCTGTTGGATAACCTTATCTGCCCTTTGAACTACTGGGACCAGATAAACACTTTCTGCATATTTTTGTGGTTATTTTCATTTAGTTTTGAGCCCAAACCCAAGTGAGATCTTGGTACAATTACAAGAGAATCACCATAGTCTTTGTATAGCCACCCTCTCCTGTCTAAAAAATCAGGAAGAGGCCCACCACCCACCCAAGGATTTTAGGAACTTGGAAATGGCATATTTAGTCACAGATGGGAGACGTTAATTTCCCACGCACGGGAGTACTGTGTAGTGGATGTCCTACCTGGGTTGGGAAGGTGGGTACAAAGGGGTTAGGTGTCAACGAGGACGAAAGTTCTGTTCCTTTCTCTTGCCATTCCCGTGGCGAACAAATTAAATTCCAAAGATACAAAGTGATGATAAATGAAACTTGGTATTCTCATCTTATTTATTTATTTCCTTTTGTTTACAGGTAGACTTCCAAAATGTGACAAGTAAAATACTGTAATATAAAAATCTGACTGAATATTTCTATCAAAAAATATTGTACAAATGGCAAAAGAACCATAAAATAAATACAATACCAGAACATGTCCAATAAATTGACAAAATGTACACCAATGTTGCAAAAATTAAGATGAATGAACAAAGACATTCATTGAAATTTCAATTGCAATAAGACAGACGATACAACCTTTAAATGTTGACATTTGGATGTACAGCCATTTGAATGGTACCTCAATCCAGTGGTCAACTTTGGTTGACAAGTAATGGTTACAATTACACTGACATGTACCTACCTGGATAGTCTATAATCACACTTCCCTGAACACATTTTGTTTGCTTCTTCCCCCTCCCCCCCCCCCTCTAGGCTTGCTGTAAGCTTGCCAAACTTTACTAATTGTGGAAGGGGGGGAAGGGACCAGCAAAGTTTCTAATGCACGGAAAGTGTGGGAGTGTCTAATTCTACAATTCTTATGACTGATGATCTGTACTGAACAATGATGAAAGAGCTACATCTTCATAAGTCACCTGAATTGTCGGTCTGCCACTAACAAAATAACCTTTCACAATAAGGAAACTACAAGAATTTGGCAGAGTAAAAATATGTATAACACCCCAACTGGAGAATAGCCTTTAAGAATAAAGGAGATGAGGATGTTTAAGGATTGATATAAACTTCTAAGCAAAAACTTTTATATCCATAAATGAATTTACCAGGCAGGATAACAACTGATATGTACGACATGGTTTTAACTTGAAAAGCCTTGCCTATTGTAAAATTTTTAAAGATTGTCATATGCAATCTATATTAAGCTTCTCTGTCCTTGAACATCCTTGTTCCCTTTTGGAATGTTTCTATGTTCCAGTTTGCCAATGTACTTTACAAAGAAAGAAGAATGCCACATAATTTCTTAGAGATGACTTGGCAAAGAACAGGGTCTCATCTGTTATGATACACTTTTTTCTACATCTCTGTTCATTGGATTTGGTGAATGTGATTTCAACGATGCAGCTCGTCGCCTGGCCAAAACGGAGTTGGATGGGGGTGAAAGTCCAAATAATCTTGGTTTTATGTTGTTTTGGAACTCGTCATTGTGTGCACCAGGCTCATCAATAGCAGATGCCTCTGAAAAAATCCTGTTCATGGCTACTGCTTCAGCTGCAAACTCCTGTAGACTGAGGGTGTTCATATTCCTGAAAAGAAAAGCCAATATATTAATTAGCTATAACTTCCTAAAAAAGAAACCATCACAAGTTTCAGTTCTGTAGTCTAAAAAACAGACTACCAGTACACTTTCTTGAAAGTTGCTGTTCAGAGGCACAAACCATTGGAAGAACAAGTGTCACACTCTTCCAAATCATTGCACTGCATTAGGTACAGGCATTAAATGTGCAGATGTGTTTTTTTTATTTATTATAAGGTTAATACCGAACTTAATTTAATAGGCCCTTTGCAGTTAGAGATCACGTGCTTAGATACTGCATAGCAACATCATGCTGGAGAGCAAGTACTCCAGTGATCTCAGACAAAATAGAGATCACGGAGGTCTGCATTCAAACAAAGAAACAGCAGATAACAAGTTAAAGGGTATCCCAATTCGAGAAATCTTGTAAGTTTTAATGAACAGCTTCCTTGGAGTGTATCAGCAAAAAACAAATTTTGGTGTGATTTTGCTGATCATACACTCCAGGGAAGCTGTTGATTACTTCTTACTGAATTTCTCGAATTAGGATACCTTTTGACTTGTTATCCACTGTATTCTTTGTTTGAATGCAGACCTCCGTGACCTCTATACTGTCTGAGATCACTGGAGTGCTTGCTCTCCAGTATGGCATTGCTATGTGGTATCTAAGCACATGATCTCTAGCTGCAAAAGGCCTATTGAAAAATCGTACATGAGCAGCTCAATCTATTCAAATCTTATTTTTCTTGGTATGATTTAGTATTTACTCTCCCTCACTGCAGAATTTAATATGCAGTTCTTTGAAATGTCACGCAATGTTCCTGAGAGAAGCATTGCCTTACATTCAGTTAGTGTGATTGGATTATTTTGGGAGGTGAAAGGTCATGTTGCTATCAAAATTAATGGTCTTACATGATGAAATGGTTTGTTAAAATAATGCAAATTAAGGCTTCTCAACTTTCTCCAACTTACCTTGTCAACAGAGTGGGGGTCGGTAAAGGGGTGTTGCTTGCCTGTAAAAAAAAAAATAATAATAATAATAATAATAATAAAAAATAAAAACACAGCGAACCTTTTACACCCTAACATTAGTTTACAAATTCTTAATACTGTTTTCCATGCATTTTCCTAAGATACTGAATAGGAGAATTTGTTTAACAATCAGGAGCTTCTTTAGTCGGGGATCATTTCCTCACACACCTCTTTGATCCAGGTATGTTCAAGTATCATGTCAGTTGTGTATCTTTTTGTTGCATCCCGCACTAGCAGGTGGGAGATGAGATCTTTGGCTTCTGATGAAATGCTCTGCCATTCCTTGAACAGGAAGTGGAAAATAAATTTCACTTACTTACCATTAACTAATCTACCCTCATTACACTGTTTAACTTGCAATGCTTTAAGTGTAAATTGACGAGACTTTTCTACCATTTTCAATCAACTGTGCATTTGGGGGAATAATTGCTGAAAAGAGGGAGTCAAGGAAGTCTTAAA